TAAAATTTGACAGTTTCAATAAACTACAGAACAAACTGTTCAATAAACTTTAACGAAGACCAATAGTGACCAAGGACAGAATTTAGCTCTAAGTAACAAGCCCCTGGTTGTTTATTATTAGCGTTATTAGTATGAAAGAATTTCGAAAATCAGAATTTTAACATGAGTTTACTCAGTACTTGAAAACATCCCTCTGCTTCTGAGGGAGTTGTGGTTAAAGGTGTCACTGTTTGAAAGAGGTTAAAAGAGCGAGGAGCTATTATGGTAAGGAAAAAAAACAACAACATCAGAAAACAGTTTATTGGGAGTGTATTATCAAGTAGGATTTGCAGCCACCTTTTATTTAATACACACATTTATAATGTAGTCTAGATTTTCTCTCTTAAGGAACAAGGCTCTTAAATAAATATAAATCCAAGTTATAGCGTTTACCTGCTTAACAACTATTTTAATTATGATAGTTATATATTATTACGGTGAATATTAAAACAGCTCAAAGCTATAACTTGGATTTTGTCCCCAAGAGAGACGATGCAGAGTTGATTCGGATCGTATGTAATAAGCAAAGGGTGGCAGGAAATGAAACTTGATTTTATATTCAACATTTTAAGCCCTTTGGCAGAGATCGGTTAAACAGAACCAATAAAAAGTCTCTTTTCTGTTTCCATCGCTGGGCAGGTTCTCAGCCGGCTGTACTTGCGCGGGCTAGCAAAATTAATCTCGGGAGTCAAGGGGTCTCTGATTATTTTCTACTGCCTTGAAATACCTGTGAAATTCTTTCCCTTCCACGGACAAGGAATTACACCTTAGTTAGCCATCAGCTCAACGCAGCAATCCAGAAGGCGTGACTCCCCTCTCCCCCCAGCTCACGCTGGGCAGCGAGTCCTACAGACTATCCCGCCCAACCCCTTTTGCGCAAATGGAAACAAAAATCGGGGTTTAATTCCTTATCCCCCACTCCACCCCACTGTTTACTGCTTCCCAACAAACTAGGGACCCGATCTTGCAGTCTCTGCACAGGCTAAACGCCCACTGACCACAATGGGAAGCCCCACTGCATGCAGGATCGGGCCCCCTATTCCAATCTGTTCAATTCCTGCATTGGGATTTATTGCTAACATCCTATAATAAAAATTAAATATTAGGCTGGCTTTTTAAAAAAAATGCTAGTATTAATAATTAGAAAAGAAACACAAATCGACAGCAGGGAAGTAATAAGAGCTGGATGTTATTTCTCCGGTTTGGTTTATTGTGTACTTTTAGCTGGGATATTTGACAGTAACAAAAAATATGTTGGAGGCATAAAAAATCTCCGATTCAAAATGAATTTGTATAAGAATGCGAGCTGTTTACCACGGAATAATACGATGTAACTGGCGAAACATGTGTATTTATTTACTTGCTACATTCTAGCTGATTCAGATAAGATTCTGCAATTATATTCTCTGTACACAGAAAAGAAATTCAAGAAAAACCACGTATAGAAGATTCAGAGCTTTAGTCTGTCTTTCTCATATGCAGCAGTTACTAAAACCCTTTGAAAATACCCTTCCGTTAGCCTTTACGGCAAAACTGGGAAAAACTGTGGAATTTGAAAATATTTCAATTTTCTGATTTTACTATTAAAACTAAAAACATTATTTAATAATATTTTAATTTTAAAAGATTTCTTTTAGGATTAGCATGATTGTAAAATAATATTAAAACATTATATATAATATATGTATTTAATATTATATATATAATATACAAGTTTGTATGTAGAAATTGACATCTCTCTACATCTATATCTAGAGAGAGCTAGATGTCAACATGTACTATATATATATTGACATCTAGCTCCCTCTAGATATAGATATAGAGAGATGTCAATTTCTACATATACATTCTATATATATATATAACGCTAAAGGAAACTTCCATAAAGTTTTCTAAACTCAAACAAACACACACATATAACCCCCCCACACACACATATATTCACACATGTGGACATATATATGTATGTAGATACTCATGCACACATTATAAATATTAATCTTATGCCTAAACTTCAATCTTGCTGTACTTGTAATTAATTACTTGTAGATGGCTTTAAGTATCCTTGCTTCCACAATTCTAATTGTTGCAGAAGAAGGTTATATTTCCATAAACAAGAGTGGTCTAATGCTCGTGTGTGTGTGTTTAAAGGCTCTGGGACCCTTATTCATTATATTGTAGACACACTGGTAGCCATTACAATGGACAGAAGCAGGTCTACGGTGGTTCCCCATAATTGGTACCAAGTGCAACACAATGCCCCTTAAAACTGTGGTCACTTTAAGCACCAAATAATTATAAAAAGCACCAGATAGAAACCCACAGTTTAAAAGTTCTCTCTCGATGTCTTTCTAGGCAGAAAATATGTCTATGGAAAATAATTGCTTGGCAAACCCCAAATTGTTTCCATCAGCCTTTCCTAAACGCTCATAATTTCAGTGGTTTAATACGACCCTAAAAGAAAAGGGGTTCATTTACGTAGTTTAAGCTACAAAAGTGGGTCATTTGTCAACGGTGCATTATATATGTACACATCACCGCATCTACGCATACGGAGTACTCACATGTCTGAGCATACACACGTTACATATGCATGTTACACACATACATTATATTTATAATATACACGTGTGTATATGCAGATGTGTATATATTCGTGGAGAATTTATATGAGTCTATGTGCGTATTATGTATGGATACGCCTCTGTAAGTGCACACAGTGTTAGTATTATGTAAGTTTGTGTGTAGATGTGCGTGTATTATGTATGTTTATATCTGTTTATACCCAGTGTTATAATTATGTTGGTCTATATGCGCGTATTATGTTTGTGTATCTGTGCGCGCCTTATGTATTTACCTGTGTAGAAGTGTGTATACACCGTGTGTTGGTATTGTTTGTGTATATATGTGTGCGTGTTATGTATGCAACGCATACATGATGTCTCTATGTTTGTCTATATAGGTAGTATGATTTCAGTTTGTGTATGTATGTGTTTAAATAATACATATATATACGTGATCGATATGTATTTATACGTGCGCGTTACGTGTGTATATGGCGAGTCTATTTTTGAGATTGCTGTCCATGTCTCTTTAAAAGCCAGCTGTGATTTTAAGTCTAAAGCGTTATTGTACTTTTAGAAACCGGTCTTTGCAAATGCTTCTGGACCATCTGATTGCTGAAAACTGCAAACTTCTCAAACTCATCAAACTTAAACAAACAAACACTCCCCCCCCCCCAAAGGAGCTATGGGACGTGTGGCGCTCAGATTGACCAAATAAAGATCTTGTTCTGCTAGGTGGTCCGTAATCGCTGGGCTAGGGCAGATCTGGGAGATACAGTCAGCCAAGGACCTGCAGGATCTGTCCGAGGTTACTGGGGGGCTTTGAAAACGTCTCTAAATATTGCTATAGTGGGAGGATTCTGGAGGCTCGTCAGAATTCGTCTGCGACCCCCCCAGTCCATAGCCCAAGCGTTAGCTTCAGCTGTGGTGCAGAGTCCCTGTCTCGTTGCAAGGAAAAGAGCACTCGAAATTCATGGGGTTTACTGAACCATTGCCGGCTAGAAAAGAGACGCTGGGCGCATGGAAAGCTAGAAGGAGCTCAGGTGCTGGGAATAGAGCCCAGGGCTGGACCAGACAAACTTCTGCAGGGTCTAGTTCTCGTTAAGATCTTGCCATGGGACTGACCCCAGTGGCTCCGGTGGAACAATTTGCGGGGTAAGGATTACTCAGGCTACGAAGGGTTTGCAGGGCCACTCTCAAAATCCCCATGGAGCTGAAATCAAGAACGCCTGGGAGCACAGACCTCACTGTTTCCAATCAGGTTTGCTTGTCTGGGCTCGAATCCATGGAAGGTTTAAACGGAAATCGGTACCGTTTCCAAGCTAACCCGTTTGCATCAAACTCAGAAGCCCTCAACCCTGAATTTCGGGGGTGTGCAAGGGGCCAGCACA